ACTTGCCTGAGAGCCGATGGATCAAGAGCATCTCGATCGTCGATCGATCGCCGTACGGAGCCGGTACGTGTCTGAGACCGAAGGCACCTACACCAACATGTACAGAGAAGTGCTGCCGTTTCTTTCTGAATAAAGCTGCAGGTATGAGCTAGTAGTATACAGTATCACCTAGTAGTACGTTGCACAAAGCATACCTACAAATACATAGTATTGCTAGCTAGTTTAGTGCTTCAAGTATTGCGAGTGTATATGTTTTCCATGTTTAGTTCCTCACAATTGTGCAAATGGAGAAATGTGTGACCAATTTAATTGCCATACTTGAACAACTTTTGCAATTTGTTTTTTTTCCTCGTTGTTTTTCACATTCAAATATTTTTTTTCTTATACTCCCCCGTTCCGAAATACTTGTCGTGGTTTTAGTTCACATTTTTTGAACTAAAACCACAAGAGTTCAAAAAAAATTGAACTAAAACCACGAGAAGTATTTTGAAACGCAGGGAATACATGATTATCACTCTTCTTTCTAAAAGATTAGAGGTTTATTGACTTTTTTGGAAAGATTGTAGAAGTTCTTGCAAATTGTGGACAATAAAAAAAAGGCATATAAAGACATCCAATTTTTCATGCAAAATATAATAATATACTAGTTTTTACATTCTCATATAAGAACGTCTAGGCGACTATCGGTTGGGGAATCGTCATGTATGATGCAAACATGCGTACAATCTTGCACTTCTACACGCAGATAATTTAGCTTTTTGTATACCAAATCACTACGAAGATAGGTTGTAGGTAGATAATGTGTGGAGTCCCTCTCCCTGCCCAATATATCAGTGCACTTATTGCTCCCGCTTGCTGTTAGAATAGCCAATTCTCCATCAATTATTTCGTTGTCTTCTGGTTTCAACTTACAAGTTCAAAGTCAGATCTAGTACTACTCAGACAAGTAAACAAACAAGCACAACTGATGGATGTATATATGTGCGTTTTTCTCATAAGCTTTGCTAGAATTTTGTGGTTGAATGTTTGTTTTCTATTTTCCTTTTTCTTTTTTGAGAAAAAAATGTTTGTTTTTGTCTACTAAAGACTTCAAACACCAGGTATGTTCTCTAGTGGGCTACGAGTAGGACCGTCCCTCTAGTCATCCAACCAAACTTAAACATTTTTACAAGATCAATCTCCAAAAGTTCTAAAAAAACTAGCATTTAAAAAAAAGATCATTTTCTATGCAGGGCAGATTTGATCAGATGTTTTCATGAATTTGCGCAAGTTCACATGTTTAAATGTAATGCACATGTACATAGGTTTTCAAACTATTTTAAATATTATGCATACAAACCTAATATCTAAACTCAAGCACCCATCCTTGCATCATGTGCATATGTTTTAACATTAGAAACCCGGCCCAAGGGAGTTTTTTTTTCTGTAAAGGACCACCCGTGCTAGTAAAATGGCAAAAAGGACCGTATATAAATGCAAATGACAAAACTACCATGGCGGCAGGCCCGAGACAAGCTTCTATGGTTTGGGGGCAGTACTCTTGGTCAAATTTGGAAAATGCAATGAAATCCATTATATTTGTGTGGGTTGAATGAATAGAGTTTGTGCGGTTTTCTTGTGAGGGTTGAAAACCAACGGTTCGGCCCGTTTAAAATCCAAAGAACCGCGCACACACACAAAATATCCCAAGAACCGCTGACTAGGGTATACGACTCTATCTTATCCAGCACACAGGAATGAAATAAGGGAGCAGGTAGTGAGACATCAATTCTTTTGTGTCCGTGATTCTTGTGCTAGTATTGCATCAGTCGGCAATGGATGAACCAAAGACTTCTTCATGCATGTATATCCTCATCTATTTTTCTTTTGTACGCCCTTGATTCCTCGGAGTCCAACTGTGGTACTGCCATTACATCAGTCGGCCACGGAACGGATGACTTTTCCAGGCATGCATGCATATCATGTTTTCCCTCCAACCACAGTGCAACAGCTGAACCCCGTGGTACTAATATATCACCAGTGATGTCAACAAGTTTACGCGAAGGGAAGAATGTCAACTCTCTGCCGTGATGGATGCATTATTGGCCTAAAATAATCTCGACCAGGCAGAGATCCTGTTCATGATTCTGTTCTGTTCACCTGTTGGCACAATTGGGGCCATTTAAACTGTGACTATCTTTGCCATATATTGCCACATGATTTTTGGTCATACTTACCACACTTGCCTTACTTGAGTTGCTCAATTTGTGAGGCTGTTTGTTTTCTAGCCATATTTTGCCACACTTTGCCACACCTCACCTTAGAGCATCTCCAACAGCCACCCAACACGCCGCGCGCTAAAAACAACTTTGTTGCGCGGCCATCGCCTGGTTTGGCGCGGCGGGCAGCGCTGACTCCAACAGCCGCGCTAAAATGCAGCGTGCGCGACTCGCCGGCGCGACGCCACCCGCCGCCGAGGTCATCCGCGTCAAGGCCGATGCTCAGAGGAGCTCCGGCGGAGGCGAGGCCAACGCTCCCCGTGCTAGGGTTTGCGCCGCCGGCGGCGGTGGAGGGTTCGCGGCTGTAGGAAGGGATGACGGGGGTGCCGGCGCGTGCGTCCATCGGATCAATTCGCCGCCGCCGGTGCGTGCGGGGTGAAGGTGGCGCGGTGGAGAGAGTGCGGCGCAAGCGCTCATGTGTGCCGCGCGCGGAAGCGGACGCCCCAAATACACAGCGCGCGATGGCGATCCAGACCGCGCGCCCAACACTATATGCCGCGCCCGCTGGAGACCCTCTACCAATTGCGCGCGCTAAAAAGAGGAAATTTGCGGCACGACGCTTGTTTAGCGCGGCTGTTGAAGATGCTCTTAGGTAAGTTTGACGAAGTTAGATGTGTGTTTGGTTCTAACCATATCTAAGGCAAGAATTTTTTTTATGAACAGTGAACCCCACATGTTATAGACACAAAAAGTATGGCAAGATTCCTTTAGGCAATCCAAAGTGTGGCTAATAATTTAAGCAAATCAAGTTAGGCAAATGTGACAAAAATAATGTGGCAATATATGGCAACCATAGTCACAATCCAAACAGCCCCTGTTAGCCATACTCTGGCTTGCCTAAGGAAATCTTGTCATACTTTTTGTGTCTATGACATGTGGGGTTCACTTTTTAACTTAGATGTGGCTAGAACCAAACACCTACCTAATATGGTTAAACTTGCCTAAGGTGAGGTATGGCAAAGTGTGGCAAGGAACCAAACAGCCCGTATACATGGGTGACTACAACTTTTTGAATGATGGGTAAGATCATCTACAGCTGGGCGCCTTAAATCTGTCTACGGTCACAAAAAATCGACCAAGCCGGGCACCTCGAACCGTCCTCAAACTCCAGGCTGATCAGCGCCCTTCATATGTAGCCAAAATATGGGACGAATATGAGGCGGCCCAGGCACGCCCAGACGTGTCCATCTGACAAGCCCGGCCCATCACCAACCCCATGTATGTCCAACAAAAAACCCATCGGGCTCATCGCCCAAACCCTAGCTCACTCACACTCTGCTCTCTTGCTTCCTCCTCTCCTCTCTCGTTCCGTCTTCTCCTCTCCCATCGATTTTGATCGAATCCGACACAATGTCAAGCTCCGACAGCCGCTCCGACTCCGAGTTGGATCCCGACTTTGAGCTGGCCCTCCGCGTCGCCTTCAAGCGCTCCAAGATGGAGACCGGGAGCAGCTCCGGATTGCAGCATCGCCGCAGACGCAGCTCCCCCGCCGACACCGCGCGGACACCGACGCTGGCCCCTTCCCGACCCGTGCGTAGCTCCGACATGCCCGCGCAATCCGTGCCTACACTACACCGACCGCTGCCCGCTCCGGCTACTGCTCCCTCACGTGGGCAACGGTGGGTGCTTGTGCCCGCCCCGCCGGCCTTGGCACGCACGCCGGAATCAGAGGCGCGCGCCGCTCGCCGCGAGAGGTAGCAGGAAAGGTAGAGGAAGGAGGCGGAGCAGTCCGCGCCCCGCCGCCGCGGGATGCAGGTGGAGCCCGACGAGGATGCGTGGCTTCTCGATTGGGTCTACCGCCGTTCGCTTACGACGGCGGAGATGGACGCACGGCGGCTCCGCTGGAAGAACACCAAGGCGCTCCGGATTGCAATTGAGCAGTTCGAGCGCGAGGCCGCGGCGGCGGCTCGGCTCGCGAAGCTCAAGCGGTAGCAGGACAGGTCCGTCCCGCGGTTGAAAGGCATCATCGTCCTCTCCGACACCTCCTCGTTCGACGACGACCGCCATGGCTCCTCGTCCGACGACTCGGACGATCCTTCACCAGTCGCCGACGCCTATAGCTGCGTCGGTGACAGGAAGGGCAAAGGGCCGACGAAGAAGTGTTGAAGCTCCGTCGTCTTCGTCTTTTATTTCAAATTTTTAGTAATATATTAAAGCTTGTCCGATGTTTATGTGAATTATGTGAATTTTGGCGATCTTTTGAACGTCCGTTGGTGATTGGAATGTGCATTTTTGTGTCTGGTTCTATGTTTGTTTGATGATTTACGTTCTATGTTGCATGCTTTGATATGGATATAGGGTACCGGATATGAGATACACGGATGTAGACGATAGGATTTGAGAAGTGCCTGGTCGGTGTCTGTGGACGCAGTGACTCCGGATTTGCATGTTGAGGATGTAGATGCTCTGACAAGAGATTTTTTTCTTTTGTTTTGGAGATGGATGGGGTCATAAACGCGAAGGGGTGGGCCGATTCCTCATGCGCCGTGGGTAGCGTCGCCTACACACCCCTTGGATCGATGGCGAGGCGGGGTGGCTCGCGTGGCGGCCCCCGTCGGGCATCTATATATAGCGGCTGCGGTTGCAACCCAGCCCAAACCGAACCAAACCGTCCGCATAGAGATCGGTGCCGTTGGGAGAACCCGCAGAGGTCGATCGAGCGGCACATTTAAACCCCCGCGCCCGGGTTGGTCGAGCGAGGCGGCGCGGAGAGAGTGGAGAGGAGGGAGGTGGTTGGCATCCATGGCGGGTCATGCGGCGGCGGGGGTGTGCGCGGCGCCGATGCAGGCGACGTCGCACGGCGCGTTCCAGGGCGACAACCCGCTGGACTACGCGCTGCCGCTGGCCATCCTGCAGATCTGCCTCGTCGTCGTCGTCACCCGGGGCCTCGCCTACCTCCTCCGCCCGCTCCGCCAGCCGCGCGTCATCGCCGAGATCATCGTAAGCACGTCCTCTCTACCCCCCTCCTTCTCATTCCGCCGTCTCCGTTGATCTAACTATTACCTGCGTGCACGCAATTGATTTCGCTCGCCGCCTCGCCGGCCGGTTCGATTGGACGTTGGTAGCGGTTAACAGCTCGCCGGGCGTGGTAGATAGCTAGCTAGGGTTTTAATTCGCCGGCTAGTTCGTTCCGCGTCGTCCACGCACGCGCGTGCGTGCATGCCCGGCCCCGTCCGCGCTTTTGCCGGGGACGACGACGACGGCACCGCACGCACGGGTCCTCCCAGAAGAATCCAAGCAGCCTGTCCGTAGTCCGTTCCGTTCCGCGTCCGCTGCCGAATTTTCTCCGGCCGCGGCGTGGAAGCGCGAGGGGGACGCGCGTCACACGTTCTGCTGGTAGTCGAGTTTGACTCGTTGATTAGAAAAATCGGGGGTAGGAGGATGGCCGGAGGAAGGCGGAAGAGACGACGGGACAGGCGAGTCCTTCCTTTGAGTCAGCGTTTCCGTCGCTCTCATGGCGTCGCTCGGCTCGATCCCCTTTCCTTGTTTCTAGCACGCGATGGAGACAGTCAGACTGGCCTCACTGTTGGATTTTGTGGGGGCACGCGGCTCCGAGCTACTTAATCAGGGATTTGGTGCCATATATCTAATTTTTTTTGCTAGCTACCAACTCTATAAGTATATTCGGGAAATTCGTTATAGGCACCCGAGACAGCATCTAGCAGCTCTGGGTTTCATCATGGAAACAAAATGGATTGCTACTAACTCTAGGTTAAGAAGGTCAGAATAAAAGTAGGCATATTCGGGGTTCGATGGACAGAAGAAACCCGTCACTTGAGACAGCATCTAGCAGCTCTAGCTGTGTTTCATTATGAAGAAAGTTTAATTAAAATGGAAAATGGTGCTCAGATTAATTGGTGGGGAATTAATTAGATTGAGTTCCATCAACTAGTCCCTCCATCCGAAAACAAGTTTTTCCGTAAAAGGAAAAAAAACAGCAAAGAAGGAAATGAAACAGAACCCATGCTGATTTGGTATGTATGCATGTAGTGTAGCCAGCCAGCCGATGCTGATTCGGTATGTATACACTTTTTAATTACTCCTTTCGTTTAGAAATACTTGTCATCAAAATAAATAAAAAGGAGATATATCTAGATGTATTTTAGTTCTAGATATATCTCTCTTTGTCCATTTTGATGACAAGTATTTTCAGACGGAGCGAGTACCATTTTTGGCATCGTCGCCGGAGTTAAGAGTACATGGGCAGATAGAGACCATGTGCTGTAAGACCGATTCAGTTCAGTGCTGTCTAAAATTAGCCATGAAGGTTAATTAATTAATTAATCCGATGTAGTGGGAGCATGCATTTGAGTTTCGCCGAATTGAAACGAAGAAAACCTAGGGGCAGTGCCATGCTGCTCACGTGGCCCGATCCCAACTCCCCCGGGGCATGGCGCCCTTCCTGATCGCTTGCCGACAGACAATAATTTACGGTGCAAATTTGTGCACAGCTGTCTAGAGATTAGAGTTATTCGCTAGCTTAGCAAGAAGAAAGGAGGTTACATGGTACGTATTATATTGATTCCTGAATCCGTAGACGGGACGTGAGACCATCTCCTGGGGCACCACCACTCCATGATCCGCGCCACGTCTGGAGGACACCCGAGGAAGATATCATCAGCATGTTTTTTTTGAGCCGAAACCGTAGAACAATCGTTCTACGGTATTTTATATATTAAATAAAGTAAAGTATATTTACAAAAGGCTAAATAGCTAAATAGCCAACAGCAGGACATCAACCAACACCAGTTTTAGGAAACATAACTATCATGAGGAAATTAGAGATTATGCTCGACCCAACTGGTAATCAGCTCAGCTTTCTTCGTCTTTGCTCTCAGCCTAGTCATTTCCATGCCTTCTGGAAGATAATGTTGCCAGGACATAACTTATTGGCACCTTATTGAAGATTTTATCATTTCTGATCATCTAGATGCTCCAACAGCCCATAATCACCACTTCCATTGCAATATCTTTGGGCAGCTCTCTGAGAATGAAAAGAACTTCATCATAGGTTGATGTGCCTCTGTGTTTAGCAGGAGTAATTCCATACCAGCAGTAGCTAGCAAATTGGCAATCCCAAAAAAGATGAGTGCTGGTTTCAACAATAGAGTCTGCACAAAGGGCACAGTTGTAATCATCTAGATGCATACTTCTGCGCTGAATCATATTCCTGGTGCTCAGTCTGTCATGGAGCAAAAGCCAAAAGAAAATTTTGTGCCTGAGCCTACAAGATGTTTTCCAAACTTTCTGAAAGATCTCATGAGCATTGCTAGGGCCAGACATGGCTTTATAAATGGCCATAGCTGAGAATTTTGGATTATTGCCTGCCATGATCCAAGAATCTTTGATTGTTATGTCTGCCCTAGTTGTCAAGATGTGATCTCTGATCACAGCTTGGTTGCAGTTATGAGATATGAACTGTGATTCTCACCATGTACGTATGCGCTAGCAAAAACAGCCCATCCTCTTTGTTGCTGTCAGCAGCAAACAGCGCACAAGTTTCGACGGAAAGTGGCCTGCTGGTGCACGCGGTCGGCGTTGAAATGTGCTTTGCTGGTGACGACGTTGAGGTGTAGAGATCTCATTGTACCTGGCGATCCGCAACTCAATGACCCGTGTGTCTGTTTCTGCGTTTGAATATAGCACTGCAATCAACTTGCTGACCTGCACGACCTCCCCACACCGCACGTTCTGTTGAGACTTCAGACACATGCGTATATATAGCCCCTCTTATTTTGGAATGAGTTCTTTTGGAATAAATAAAAGCATCGCCGGTTATTAGTTGTACACTTAGAATTGGTCAAATGAAAGAACATGGACATGATTGTGGCCATTGTTCACGGCCAGGTTATAACTTATAACTTGCTTCTGTTGCTTGCCTTGCTTAACTAATACTACCAGTAGTCAAAGACACGGTGCTAAAGTAAACTAAGGGCATCTACCTGCTGTAAGCCTGTAAGAAATGTGGAACAAGCAAGGTGATTTGTTTAAGTGCATTATTGTTGCTAGAAAGATATGCCTGCTGGCTAGTATTACCTAGCTAGCTGTCATTGACTTGCAGCCGGACCTTGCTTAAGCAAGAGAAAGTACTGCCAAATGCCAACTAGATTTACTCACAAGCTTACTCCTCATCATGGTAGTAACTTGTAAGAGCTTTCATATGGACACCCAAAAGTAAATTTTGTATCCTTTGCCGGGATTCTCAAACACCTTAATAATTTTTTCTTGGTTGCTTCGATTAGAATATGTTATCGTTCAACCGACCTTCTAGCAAAAATGCTTGACAAAGTGACAACTACCTCTTCGATCTCTAACACGGCATGGACTTACAGAGATTGGAGGACCCCTATGGCTATGGGCAGTTTTCAGTTTTGTCATCGGTTTGACAGGGTGACAAAATGACCTCACTTTTAGCTTTTTCAGAGTTGACATCGGGTTCGCAGGATAGGATGACCCGCTATGAACAGTTTCACACCATTGTTAATTTTCCTTTCTTACCAGTGCAATTGCAATCTTTACTGCATCTCTGAATCATGCGTCTCGATTTCTTTATCTGAATCCAATAAGTGGGTAGTAGACCGCACACTGCTTGCCTTGCTTAGCTACTACTCCCTCTCCGTTCCAAAATAACTGTCGTGGTTTTAATTCAAGCTTAAATTTTTGAACTAAAACCACGACACATATTTTGGAATGGAGGGAGTAGTAGTCAAAGACACCAGCAGTGAGAAATGTGGAACAAGCAAGGTGATTTGTTAAATGCATTATTGTTGGTAGAAAGATATGCTTGTTGGCTACCTAGCTGTCATTGACTCACATGACATTTGCTTAAGCAAGATATAATAGGGCGCATACTTGCCCCAAGTGCCAACTAGTAGCAGCAAACTTATTCATAAGCCATGTAGTAACTTGTAGCAGCCTCCTATGGACACGTACTAGTAATTTTGTAGCTTGAAAGCCGTTTTTATAATATGGGACGGGAGGGAGTAATTAAGCGGCCGACTTGCCAGAACTCTCTAACACCCAAATATGTCCAAGCGACCTTCTAGCAAACTGCTTGACAAAATGGTGAACCTTTTCAGTTTTGGCATCGGTTTTCACAGTCACTGCATATCACTCTGCTCATCAAATCACAAATATGAAAAATAAAACTGATTATCCCTTGATTGACAATTGAACATACACACGCATACATATTACTCCGATTTTTCTTTTTGAGCTGGCACAATTGAATATCCTTTGATTGACAATTGAATATAGAATTTTTGAGCTAGCACAATTGATTTATCCATTGTTTGACAATTGAATATACATGCATGTCCCCTGCAAAAACAAAGAATATACATGCATGCAAAAAGTTAAAATGGATGGAATGTTTGTTTTGGGCCTGCTTACTGAAATGGCATGCGTGCATGGTTGATGCAGGGTGGAGTCCTGCTGGGCCCGTCGGCGTTGGGCCGGAGCAGCAAGTTCTTGCACGCCGTCTTCCCGGCCAAGAGCCTGCCGGTGCTGGACACGCTGGCCAACCTCGGCTTGCTCTTCTTCCTGTTCCTCGTCGGCCTCGAGCTCGACATCGCCGCCATCCGCCGCACCGGCAAGAAGGCCCTCGCCATCGCGCTCGCTGGCATCTCCGTCCCGTTCGCGCTCGGCATCGGCACGTCGTTCGCCTTCCGCGCCACCATCGTCAAGGGCGCTCCACAGGCACCGTTCCTCGTCTTCATGGGTGTCGCGCTCTCCATCACCGCCTTCCCGGTGCTCGCTCGCATCCTGGCCGAGCTGAAGCTTCTCACCACCGACATCGGCCGCATGGCCATGTCCGCAGCGGCGGTCAATGACGTCGCCGCCTGGATCCTGTTGGCCCTCGCTGTTGCACTCTCTGGAGACGGCTCGCCGATCATCTCGCTCTGGGTGCTCCTCACAGCTACCGGCTTTGTCATCGCCGTTTGCGTTCTCCTCCGGCCGTTGTTGGCGTGGATGGCGCACCGGTCTCCCGAGGGTGAGCCGGTCAAGGAGGTGTACATTTGTGCCACCCTCGCCATCGTCCTCGCTGCCGGCTTCGTCACCGATGTCATCGGCATCCACGCGCTGTTCGGGGCGTTCATGGTCGGCATCGTCGTCCCCAAGGACGGGCCGTTTGCCGGCGTGCTCATCGAGAAGGTTGAGGACCTCATCTCGGGGCTCTTCCTCCCGCTCTACTTCGTCTCCAGTGGCCTCAAGACGGACGTGGCCACTATCCGGGGAGCCAAGTCGTGGGGCCTATTAGTGCTCGTCATCCTCAACGCCTGCCTCGGCAAGATCGGCGGCACTGTGCTCGCGTCACTGATCGTCAAGATCCCCGTCAGGGAGGCGGTCGCGCTGGGGTTCCTGATGAACACCAAGGGGCTCGTGGAGCTCATCGTCCTCAACATCGGCAGGGACCGCAAGGTGCTCAACGACGAGTCCTTCGCCATCATGGTGCTCATGGCCCTATTCACCACCTTCATCACGACGCCGATCGTCATGGCCATCTACAAGCCCGCGCGGCCGTCGGCGCCGTACAAGCGCCGCACCGTGGAGGGCGGCGCACCGGCGGACGCGGACAGCGAGCTGCGCGTGCTCGCCTGCTTCCACAGCAACCGCAACATCCCGACGCTGCTCAACCTCGTGGAGTCGACCCGGGGCACGGGGCGGCACCGCCTCGCCATGTACGCCATGCACCTGGTGGAGCTCTCGGAGCGGTCGTCGGCCATCTCCATGGTGCACCGCACGCGCCGCAACGCCATGCCCTTTTTCAACAGCGGGGACAAGACGGAGCAGATGGTGGTGGCCTTCGAGGCGTTCCAGCAGCTGAGTGCCGTGAGGGTGAAGCCCATGACGGCCATCTCGGACCTCGAGACCATCCACCGGGACGTCATCGACAGCGCCGCTGAGAAGCGGGCGGCCGTCGTCATCATGCCGTACCACAAGCTGCTCCAGCACGACGGCTCCTTCCACTCGCTCGGCTCCCAGTACCACGCCGTCAACAAGCGCGTGCTCCGGGGCGCGCCATGCTCCGTCGCCATCCTCGTCGACCGCGGGCTCGGCGGCCACTCCCAGGTCGCCGCCAAGAACGTGGAGTTCTCTGTGGCCATGCTCTTCTTCGGCGGGGCGGACGACTGTGAGGCGCTGGCGTACGCGACGCGCATGTCGGAGCACCCTGGCGTCGCTGTGACTGTGACACGCTTCCGGCCCAGCCGCCCATCGTCCGGCGACGCAGCCGACGAGGCGGCCATGGAGGCGTTCAAGGGCAAGGTCGAGGCCGTGAAGGACGGGTCGGCGATGTACGAGGACGTAGAGGCGTCGGCCAAGGAGGAGGTGCTCCAGGCGATCAACTCGCTGTCCAAGTCCAACATGTTCGTGGTGGGGAGGATGCCGCTGACGGAGCCGCTGGTGGAGAGGCCCGAGGAGCTGGGCCCCGTGGGGAGCTACCTGGCGTCGTCGGAGTTCAAGACATCGGCGTCCGTGCTGGTGATCAAGAGGTACGACCCGGCGACGAACCCGGCCAGCAAGAGGTTCGACCCCAAGGCGAGGCCGCCGGTGGCGACGGACGTGGAGGACGTGGAGATGGGCGGCGCCGGTGGCAGCGCGAGCGTGGTGCCCGTGCCGTGGACGCCGCAGAACGACCTCGCATGAGCTGATCGATGAGCTCCGGCCGGCTTCTTCGCCATCAGATGTGTGGTGCGTGTGGAGTCGCTACGCGATGAATTGTACATAGTGTGTTGTTGTGTAGTGCTGCAGCCTAGGGACACATGTTGCTGTTCGTCGAGCCTTCGCTCGGCTGTATCCACTGTTTCTGTTTCTATCTCTATCTCTACTACCTAAAAGAAACCTAACATTTCCTCTTCTGTCTTAGGATCGTCCTACTTCTCTCACGAGTAATGCTAAACGTACAAACGAGTTACAAACTTTTATAAAAAGAGTTAATTTGATTGGTTAATAGGTGACGAGGCGCCCCCACTCCCCTGAAAATCAGGGGGGGGAGGGGGCAAGTTTATGATTGGTTAGTAGATGGAAAAAATCTTAGTCAGCGTGTAATTGCGTGTAACTTTTTGTATGTTTAGCATTATTGCTTCTCTCACCCCCACCCGACTGATTTGTCTCAGTTTTTCTTTTGCGGGTGATGATCCATGTATGTTACTCCCTCCGTCTCATTTAATATAAGACGTCCTTATATTATGAAACGAAGGAAGTAATTAGCAACACCAGCGCATCCCTCTTTTTAAAGCTAACGAAGGAAACCGACCAGCCTTTCCTTGATTCGTGGCAAGAAGAGCAGCCTAATTACAGCGGCAGCACAGCACAGGGCCAAGGAGCATACACGGTGGCGAGTCGCCGCCGGAACTCTCTCTCTACCTACAGATTTTCACCAATCTCTCCACCTGAACCCTCTCTTTGATTTCATTGCCCTCCTACCAATCGCCATGAATTACCCATTTACTCGCATATTGCCAAGAATAGATTTGAGGATAGTGAAGTTGTATAGATTCACCATGCTTCATGCTTTCAAATTATTAATTTTCAGGTGACTGGTTGATAGATGATGGATTTCTATTACGAGAGGAGAGAAGAAACGAGTTGGAGAGAAAATTGATGGCTGCATGCAGCCAACCGGCTCTTTTGTCCCTGATCGATTATCCCCCAGCTCCCAACCAGGAGTGTGGGACGAGTAGATGCCGGCGACGACGTGCGCGTCATGGCAGGCGGGCATGTCAAGCGGGGCTACAAGGTATATGTCGTGCGTTTCAACTCCATTCATGTGTGTGCTTAGTTTTGGAGTTTGGTCTCGTTGATGATTCATAGTGGAGTAGAAACAGGGCTTTGGAGCAGGCAGGGAAAGTCCATTAATCTCGGTTCACCTATGAACCGAGACCAATGAGGGCATAGGTCCTGGTTCATAAGGCCAGGGCACGGGCCGGGTCTCGGGGGCCATTGGTCCCGGTATGTGTCTGCAACCGGGACCAGTGGACCTTGCTCCTGGCGCACCACCTTTAGTCCTGGTTGGTGTCTAGAACCGGGACCAATAATATTTTTTTTACCCAAACAAAACTATAATATTCTACAATAGTAAAAAGAATCAATTAAAATGCTTTAATAAAACTCTAATAGAAAAAGGAATCAACTAAAAAGAATCAATAAAAAATAAAATTTATGCAACTTAAATTAGATAAAATTTATGCAACTAAAAAGAATCATTTGTAGTATTATTGAAACTAAAATTATATAAAACTATTTTCATAGTAAAGTTAATCACAAACCAGTGATTCACACAAATTTCAAAGAATTCAAATTTAAACTATTCAAATTTGAAAAATAATGACACTAACAGAAAGTTTATAATTTTTCTGACCTAAAAGCAAAATTTTTTTAAAATAAAGCAAAAATAAATGAAAATAAATAATGAAAAAACAAAACAAAAATACTAGAAAAAATTTAATCAAATTTAATAAAATAAATAAAACAAAAAACTGGAAAACAAAATAAAATAAAATAAAATTTAATAAAATAAAATAAATAAAAATAGCAACAGTAAGTAGAAACAAAATAAAATAAATAAAGCAAAAAAACAAAAAAACTGGAAAAAAATAACAAAAATGCCACCTACTGGGCCACCACGGCCTGAATAAGACTAGAAACCCAACCATGGGCCAGGATTTAGGCCCACAGAAGGCCCAGTAGGCCCACAGGCAGCACAATGTGTTTTTAGACCCAGTAAGCCTACATTTGAGAGGAGCTCGAGAGGGCAGCCGCAGTGGGGCTTATAAACCACTCTGAGCTCCTCTCAACTAGCGAGGTGGGACTAAACATTTAGGCGCGGGCAGGACAAGGACTTCGCTCTCGGTTGGTAGAACCAACAGGGACGAAGGGGGGGGGGGGCATTGGTACCAGTTCGTGGCACCAACCGGGACCAATGCGCCTTTTTAGTCCCGGTTGGTGCCACCAACCGGGACCAAAGGTCTCAGTTTCCCGCCCTTTAGGCTGCTGAAAAGAGGCCTTTGATCCCGGTTGATGTTACAAACCGGGACCAAAGGGGTACATTCGTTCCGGTTCGTGGCAAGAACCATGACTAAAGCTTCATGTATATAAGGAACACTTGTGAAAATTTTGGTTTTCATCTTGCAGTTTGCCCCCGACGACGCGCGCGCCTCCTCGACGCCGCCAGGCTGTCAGACGCCGTCGCCCCTGCCCCGGAGCCCACGCCGACGCCGTCCGCCGCCCGCGCCGTCGCTGCCCACTCCGTTGCCGTCGCCCATGCCCCTGCCCCCACGCGCCCCCACACGCCGTCGTCGTCGCCCATGTCGTCGTCGCTGCCCACTCCGTCGCCCTCACCGCCCCGCGACGCCCTAGCCGCCCCCGCCGTCGCCCTCGCCGGCCGTCCCCGCTATGAGCCGCCGCCGCCCCGGCTCTCTTTTTTTATTTTATTTTCATATATATATGTTTTTTTCCATGTATATATACTAGTAATTTGTACATATTATTATGTATAGTCACAAATTAGGTTAGTGCATTAGATGTTAGGTTAGTGTGCATTTTAGATTAGTTGAATTAGATGTTTTTAGTAAGTGTTTAATAGAATTAGTTAGAAAAATAATAAAACTAGTTAAACTAGTTTATTTTTAGTAAGTAGTACTTTATTTTATTTATTGTAAGTGCTTAGTTGAACTAGTTGATTTAATAAAACTACTTTATTTTACTATAGAAGTAGTTTATCTTTAGTAAGAAAATTAATAAAACTAGTTTATTTTTTTTAGTTAAAGCAATTATTCCCGCATCGACGTCGATGATGCCTATCCCGCATCCTCATCGTCGACTCGGCGGAGGAGGCCTTCTTGATCAGATTGCCATGTCCGGGACTGGGCTCCGTCGGGCTGGTATTGGGAGTTGCTATCTTTTGGGAGGTGTAGCTTGGTGATGAGCCAGCCCGTCGTTGACCCGAACAGGGTTTGGTGGCGGTCGCGTGGGCCAGTGACGGTGCCGAAGCTTTCGGACACCACGGAGGTGGTACGTCACCGTGTCAGCGAGGAGGACGAGCACATCTGTTGCTGCATATAGTAATCTTTGAATTATGAGCGAAGGAAATGTCGTCATCGGACGACGAAAGTCTTCCGGGGGAGTGCAACTGGTGCAACAACGACCAAGGTCTGTGCGACATGCTTCACCTGGACGAAGATCGGCGCTTCAACATTAAGCTCCAGGAGACCTTTGATGTTGAAATGGTATGCAACGACGAAAAGTGTTTTTTCGTAATTAAGCATGACTTCAACTATTTCAATGTGTAATTTTCATCTTTTACAATTCGAGTAGCTTATCTCATGCCATGCAAGACGCTATGTCTTGGAGAGGATGGATTTTAAAGACCATGAAAATTTCGAAACAAAGAAAATTCACCTAAGGACCCATCATGATGTGGATTTTGAAGTAAAGATGTATAATTCTGAGAGTGTAACCCATTTTGGTTGCAAAAATTGGGAAGCACTTTGCAAGATGTATGGTTTTTATGAGGGTATGCTTGTCACCATGGATATTGCTGATCCTGACATCGACCAAGACAATATATACATTTGGGTCCTTATTGATACACTTCCAATTCTATCGCTATGTGAGTTTCTCAAACATAGTTATTAACTATTTTATATTGTTCATTTCAAAATATATAGTTGAAAGCTTATTTCCATTGACATCTTATCTTCATTGTTCAAACTATGTGCGGAACATGGTAGACATAACCTACTACACCGATGACTCTGAGTTAACTTATCAGGAGAAAAATCATTTGATCGCATTTTGTACTGATCTTGAGAATTACAATATCTATTATAAAACTCCTCCACATTATGGTCAATACGTGCCACTAGTGCACATGTTGAACTATGGTAACATCCATGGAGATGCCATGGTAAGATTTTTTTACTACTACGACATCCGTGCATCTTGTGCATAAATTCTTTTAAAACATTAACTACATTTCTAACTACGAAGTTATTACTATGTTTTTCAACAGAAAATCCTGAATGATTATGTGACTCATTTGATGTATTAGAATGGTTGCCTTGATGTTTTGAACATACGGCCAGGTCATCCTACGAATCTCACCTGTCCATATCGGATTTCTAAAAGAAGTGGAGACATGAAAATCACAAAATAGAAAAAATGTATGGACAGTCGTAAGAAGGTTCTTGGAAGTAAAAGAAAGCGAAGCACAAGAATTGGAGACAGGATGATCTCCATTCTCCATAATGGAGAGTCAGGGCCTATGTTGTTTTATGCCATTTTACCTTAAAGAGGGTATTTAGGTCCTACCTAATACTGATGATCATGTGCTAAGAACAATTAAGTTGGGTTGATTCGATGACTATGAGGATGATGATCGTATGACTTGTTATTAATAACGAGTAGAAGTTGTATGATGATGATTAGTAGGACTTGTTATTATGGTGATGCATGATGCGAGCATGAAGAGTTTTTATGTATCAGTGGGTGAAATGAACATGGATTGGATTGAAGTGAAGGCAACATATGGTGCATGTCGAAAGTAGTACTAATCCAAACTTGATCAAGTTAGAATATTAGTATTATTTTTGACATGCACCACACATGTTGCCTTCACTTCAATCTAAGCCATGTTTAGGCATAGC